TCTTTCGGGTCCACCACCGCCTTGTGTAGGATGGGTCACGCCTTCACCAATGCGTCCTGGTGGTGCTATAGAACGTACGCAGCGTTCGATAGACCCTCTCTATCGGTGACCATGGTCTTTCCAATCTTCGTTAGGGAGTACTCGCACTCTGAGTAGCCATCGGCTATGTGCTTTGAGAAAACATCGTAGTTGGTGAGCATTTGAAGGATGTGCTAGAGATTTTCAGGATCGCTAGTTGGGAGGACACGCGCTAGGATCTCGGAGGCAGAGAGAGGGATGTTGGAACTACCTTGCCAGATGGCGTCGGGGACCTTGATGCGGATGATGGCGTTGAGGGATATCGGGATGCTAATGATGTTGGCAAGCTCCAGCCTAGCGTTGTTTCGGGTTTCCATTGTCTCGTCCGCCATGGATGTAAAGCTCTGCTTCTGAGATCTTACTTCTTAGTGACAACTGTCACTGCTTTTGTTGGTTTTTGATAAGGAAGTGAGAGAGCGATATTATTTACTACACCGACTGTCCACTGTTGTTTTGGGTTTCTGTTGTTTTTTCCGCGCGCATAGTTGTCATCGGTGACCTTAACCTCCTACGAATATAGAGGAAGAGGAGGAAGACGAGCAATGCCCTTTCTTGATACTTTTCTAAAAAAATTACCCTATTTCAGTTATTATATAAAAATATTATTTCTTTTTTATATTAAAGGCAAAAAGTTGCCTTTATCTGGTAGAACCGAAAAAAATGCCTCTCCTTGGGCCGAGTACCAAATTTCATCGAGTTATGAGTGCAAGCCCACTTAATCAACATTACGTGCGAAAATTGGCTCCAGTTCTCACAGGATCATGTTCACATTGCTCGCACAGTCACTTGAAGCCTTGCATTGAGAATATCTTACCCATTTATAAAAACAAAAATGGATGAGCGTGCATCGTCCAACACCCTGATTTTACATTTCCAATTCTACCCCTCCCTGATTTCATATTTCCAATCCTAACCCCCCTTAAAATGCTTGAATTATATATATATATATATATATATATATATATATATATATATAATATTTGTATCTGTACCATTTATAAAAATAAGGATGGTGACAATGTTCCGTCAAATAGCCTAATTTTTTACTTTCCATTTTTACCCTTTATTGTATTTTTTATTTTTCTAATTTTATTTAATTAACAATTAACACTTGTAGTTGTATAATCTCTGTATCTCATCATTTATAAAAATGCGGATGGAGACAATTTTTTGTCAAATAGCCTAATTTTCATTTTCCATTTTTACCCTTTATCACGTTTTTTATTTTAAAGCTTGATTTTCACTTTCCATTTTTACCCTTTATTATGTTTTTTTGTTTTTCAATTTTATTTAATTAACGGTTAACACTTGCAATTGGATATAACAAATAAAATAACAATAAGACTACTGTGGAATCTATTCCTTGCCTTATCTGATCTTCTCCCGAAGCACCTAATTAATTAATGAACCTCTTCATTGATAAAAGCCAACACGTGTCAAGTATCCGATGGTTTGCCCAAATCACGAATTTGAATTGAAGGGAATAATAGATTTTTTCAATCTCTCTCTTTTCATCGGAGAACAATCAGATGATTAAATGAAGCTTTTTTTTTCTCCCTATTTTTTTCCATTGTATCTCTTAACGTAATAAGTTGTATTTGATCAATAAATGCTCTTAGGTTCATTATGTGTTTATTTGGAACCATTATTGTTGCTCCAGAAAAACGGCGCCACATCAACGCCATGTAGGAAAAACAGTGCTCCAGGAAACAACCATATGTTTGGAACCATTTTTCCATAGAAAACAATGCTCCAAGCCATGACTTGGAAATCGAGAAGGCATGGCTTGGAGCAATGCCAAATTTGATGTTTCCTGGAGCTGCAGCTTGTTGCTGCCAACAGGGCAGTGATGTGGCAGTGGATAATGGGTGGAAGTGCATAAAACATTTTCCTGGAGCATTGGTACCAAACAAAAAAAAATTGTTGTTGCTCCAACAAACGTCCTACCTACAGCAACTATTCCAAACAAAAAAAAGGAGAAAACGGTGCTCCAAGCCACACATTAGTGTTGCAACTGCAGCATCGATGCCAAACATTTATTATATTGATCCATTTTAGGTGTTTTTTCTTAATGATCATGGGACCAATCCGGTAATCTAACACCCTACCAACGTAATATCGTAGGGATTGTATTGCATAGGGCCATAGGGGTTTGGAATGCATTTTGTTGGCAGGAGATACAAATTCTTCTATATAAATTGAATGGATGTTCGATTCGATTCTGAATAAAAATGAATCAAGATGAACCTATATCCTAATGCTAAGCATTAGATATGCAAATAACGGCCCCACCATTGACGAGTAGAACGACAGGAGGCAAAAGGCCAAATGTCATCATTCACACATGAAGCGAAGACATAAATCCTAAAACCCCAATTCTCTCATTTAAACCATTATCTGCATAGTGTATATCTTATCCACTCCCCCCTACTTTACAATAGGAAGGAGGAAGCAGAAAATGACATCTCTCTTATCCTATGCACCTTTTTCCTCAAAATGAAGAAAACAATATAAATTACAGAAGAAACAAATAAATACGCAAAAAAAATTACAAAAATATAGAAAATCATAAAAAATTCTATACCATACTAAAAAATGAGAATGTTGTTTGTACCATTTATAAAAATGAGGATGGTGACAATGTTTCATGAAAAAGCCTAATTTTCATTTTCCATTTTTACCCTTTTTAGTTTTATAATTTTATTTAATTAATGGTTAACACTTTTGTAATTGGATAAAACAAATAAAATAATAATAGTTTTTCTATTTTTCCAATTTTATTTAGTTAATAGTTCATGCTTTTAATAAATAAAATTGCTATGGAACCTACTCCTCTCTCTCCCCTTAGGCCTTATTTAATCTTCTCCTCAATAGGGCTGCAATCGGATCGGATCCTGATTGGATGTAGCAAAATCCGGACTACATTCAAATTTGATCCAAAATTCAATTGGATTTATAGACTCGAATTCGAATTTGAATCCTAACAAACTCATATTGGATTTGGATTTAATCCGACTCCACTTTAAATTCTCTAAATTACTAGTAAAATTAAAAAATATATTTATTTTTCAACTTTTATATATAATAAATTAATATAAATATAACATACTAAATCTATTATATATAAATTCATATATAATATAATATTTAAAATATATTTTTATAAATTTTAATATAATTGTATAGAATTTATATATTAAAATTAATAAATATTATAATATAATCATATTCAAATTTTAATCAAATCATATTGGGTCAAATCCAAATCCGATTTGATTATTAATTGGAGGTAGATTGTAACATCCGAATTTGATCCAATTACATAAATACATAATCTGAATCCAAGATAATCAAATTGGATGTCGAATTGGGCCTCGGATTTTCGAGCATCTTTGATAGGCCTACTCTCGTCAGGCTTACCTAACGAACCTCTTCATTGATTAGAGCTAACATGTGTCAAGTATCAGATGGTTTGCCCAAACCCACAAATTCAAATTGAAGGGAGGAATGGATTTTTTCAACCTCTCTATTTTCATCATCGAACAATCAATTAGATGATTAAATGAAGTCTTTTTTGGTTTTCTCCCTATTTTTTCAGGTATTTTTTCCCATTTCCCCTCTATTTCATGGTCTCTGTTAACATAATAAGTTGTATTGGATTGGAAAATGCTTTCAGGTTCATTATATTGATTTGTTTTAGGGTTTTTTTTCTCGACGATCATCAGACAAGTCTAATAATCTAACACTCTACCAATGTAATACCGTTGGGGTTTTTTACTTGGTAGGGTCGTAGGGGTTTGGAATGTGTTTTGTTGGTAGGTGATACAGATTCTTCTACAAAAATCAGACGAATGTTCAATTCAAATCCGAATATAAACAAATCAAGATGAACCTATATCCAAACACTAGCCGTTAGATATGCATATGACAACCCCACCATTAACTAGTAGAACGACATGAGGCAAAAGGCCAAATATTATCATTCACACATGAAACAAAGAAATAAATTCTAAAACCCCACTCCTCTCTGTATAGTGTATATCTTATCCATTCCCCCTACTTCACATTAAGAAGGAGGAAATAGAAATGGTGTCTAGTTATCCTATGCACCTTTCTCCTCAAAATAAAGAAAACAATATAAATTACAAAAAAAAACAAAGAAATACACAAAAATATTTACAGAAAAAATAAAAAATCATAAAAATTTGTATACCATATATATATACACACACATATATGTATATATATATACACTAAAAAATGAGATTGCTGCAATTGGTTTGGTCAAAACACCATAATTTTACTTTCCAACTTTATCCTTAATTTTCTATTTTTTCCATTATATATTGTTATTATAAAATAATTATGAAAAATATAAAATGAAGAAAACAATATAAATTACAAAAAACAAAGAAATACATTGAAAATTTACAAAAAATGTAAAAAATCATAGAAACTTATATATCATACTGAAAAATGAGAATGGTGCAATTGGTTTGGTCAAAACACTCTAATTTTACTTTTCAACTTTACCCTCAACTTTATATTTTTCCCATTGTATATATGTTATTGTAAAATAATTATGAAAAAACACATAAAATAAAGAAAATAATATAAATTATAAAAAACAAAGAAATACATAAAATTTTATAAAAAATAAAAAATCATAAAAATTAAAAAAATAACATAAAATACAAATCTATACCCAATATATAAAAGCATAATCAAATATCACCTCAATATCAAATACCCCGTACGATGTACGGGGTCATTCCACTATTCCTCCATAAAAAGCATTCAAGGAGATATTCTCAATGCACGGCTGTAAAGGCTGTGCGAACGGTGTAAAGTCTTGAAGCCGATCTCGTACGTACGTTCCTCATTGTACACGTGGTACACGCTGCATCAGGTGGCACTTGATGATTAGTTGAGCAAGGTAGAATTCTGCGGTGCAGTCGCAACTCCAAGCAGAGCGGAGTTCCAGCGCTCACCGGAGAGGGAGATGGGTTTCGAGGATGTCGGAGATTTTGGCATCCACCTTATTATATCGAGGTTGGGTCCCAAAGACGTTGCAGTTCTAGCTTGCGTCAACAAGAGGCTCAGGGTTTCAGCTTCGGAGGAGAATGTCTGGCGCAAGTTCTGTTCCGAGGATCTCGATCTCTCAGCCCCAGAAGATCCTTCTGGAAACCCTGCCTCTTCGTTTAAGGTGAACGTCCATCTCATTTTTCTTCGATGATCTTGTATTTGATGACTCGTTTTTTCGATAGCTGTATATTGACGACTGTTTTGTGTTCATCGATTTTGTGAATTTGGGTTCCTTTTTTCCTATTGAGCAGTGATATCGTTTCTGGTGATTATTTTGATCCCTTGTTTCTTACTTTGTTTCCGGGGACGTTAAATAAATTTAACTACTTAAGATGAAGTGCCATTCCGAACTTAGAATGATACAAGGAGCTTAAATAACTCGTTTTTTAATCATTTATACTTGACAAACGCGTGAATTATGAGTTTGGGATGAAAACGGGGGGTTCCATGAGCTGTGAGCTTCATGGACCTTTGGTTGACTATGTTTTTGATTACTGCAATAGCGAGTTTCTTCCATCTGCACTTAGTCTGTGATTATTTATAGGAGTAAGGAAAGTTTGTTTTCTTTTTGGTATGGATAAAACAAAAGAGTTTGGGTTTTGGTGTAGAATGTTGGTGGAAGGGGCCGGTGGACAAAGATACTCATTAGCAGTTTCTCCCAACATAATAGAAGTTTGCTGCAGTGTCTAGGATGGGTAATAAGCTAGCAGATGAAGGGTGAGCAAAGGAGAGTTGTTATGTATGGTGGCACCTGTTTATCTGTGTAGTCTCTTTCGTTTTATGTTATGCTGGGGTTTAGGTAAGTATCTTTATTAGTTCTGCCCCCTTTTGTACATCTTACCTTATGGGATTGTTTACCTTGCCTTCATACATAGGTATTTTGTCTTCTAATATATATGATATGCGCTTCACTATACGTTAAAAAACAATGCAAATCTGAATAATGTGGGTATTATATTCTTGAAAGTAATTATGTGTTCAATACTCAAGGCAAAGTGTTTGGAAGATACCTTGGTGAATAACCAGTTTGCACTGCAAGACAGGAAATCCATTAGGGTCATCTTAATCTTATGCCTCTGTTTTTAGCTTTTTTTTTTATTTTATTTTTTTGTGATACCAGTATCCATTTTTATAAATAAGTACAAGATTCATTACAATAAAAGCTTGAAAGAAAGGTGATAATATATCACCAAAAGGAAAACTTCCAGAACGGAACCACCAAAAACTCCCCTCGCTTACACACCCTCAATAACTCACCAACCTGCAACCAAAATAAAAGCCACCAACAGGAGGGGGGGGGAACCACACATCACATCCAATCTCCATCTGCCTATTCCGTTTAGCCCAACAAAAGTATCACCAGTACCAGATTATTAAACCTTTCCCTGGTGATATCCAGCTCAAAAAATGAGTAATCAGCATCTGCTTGGTTCTTTTTCTCCAGCTCCCCAAAAGCTCTTCTTGTAAAATCCTCCTCTCCCAAGAAAAAAAAAGGCCCAGTGTTTTCCTTGCATGAACTTCCTATTCAATCATTGCTTCTTTTTGATAAGCAAAGTAAATTTTGTTAAATAATTAAACCAAAAAGTGTACGGACAGGCATCCCAAAAGGAGGTGCGATATCCAGCCTCATGTACAAATCAGCTTACAATTGAGCCAAAAAATCTGCTAAGCCATTAGCTGACCTTCTTTGCCACTGAATCCTTACAGTCATATTAGAGGTTAACCATTTGAAATTCTTCACAGCTTCCCCGTAGGTTGAAAGAACAGAGACTGGACCTAGTAGCCACCCAACTGCCAGCTTCAAATTCCCCTCAATTATCAATCTGTCCACATTCAACTCTCTTGCAAGCTGCACCCCCTATTCAATTATTTTTTCCAAATAAATAATATTATCAACCTGTCTAGCTTGATTATAACTCGCCTCAACCACTTCCCCTAGTTCTTCAATTTCTCCCTCAGTGCCTTCAACCACTCTCTAATTCTTGTACAACATCCTCCTTAAGACCATTCACAGAAAATTCTAAACTTGTTCCCATAGACCTAACAACAAACTTATTTTGATCAAACTCTTCTATATGTTCATTTTTTTCCACTTGACATTTTAAAACAAAAAGATGGCTTCTTCTGTCACTTGAAACCACTCCTGCTTCACCATCAAAATTATCAATCATGACCAAATCGTCTACATATCTCCCCTGGCACACCACCTCTGGAGCTGCTTTGGTAGAAACCAATGTATGACCTCCTAACATCCTATCAACTGAGGATTCATCTAAAACTCCTGAAGGATGACTACTAGGAAATGTGGAAATGCACTTCCCCGAATCCTTATTTTCTCTTGTGAACCTTCTTAACTTTAATTGAGAAAAAAGTTCTTTAAGTAGGAACCAAGCATCTGTTTTTGTAACAATTGTTGAATCCTTTACAGCATTCAATTTCATCTCTACTAAAGTTGACTGATTCATTAGCGGCTGGTGACAAAACCTCATTGTCTTCTTTGCGCTCCAGACAAAGATCCTTAGAGATCTTCTTCATCCAACCCAAATGAACCCCAATCTTACCATAGAGAATCTCAATTTTCTCAAAGGATGGGGAGGCATATATTTCAGTTTAGACACCTCAATTGCTAGATCTCTATTACTGTTGTATTGAATCCTGTTACTTTGCTTCAAATAACCAAAAGAAAGACCTCTATTTTTCTCCAAGTCAAAGCAGTTGACCACTAAGAACTCCCTCTCCATTTCCACATGATTCACATCACTTCTCCCACAGACTTTTTCTCAATTTGAACACATGCTCCCATCCCAAAAACCATTGGTCTTGAAAAAAAATCAGCTGAGCCACTGTAAACAGATTTCAAAGCTCCCCTCCCCCCACCAGCTCGATTGGCAAATTGACTAATATCAAATTGTTTTTCCTTTTCAATACCTTTAATTCTCTCGCACAGACATTCCTTTATTGAGGACCCTCTTTTTTTTGAAAGATAAGTATAAAGATTATATTGCAAAAAGAGAGGAGGAGCCCACAAGATTACAAAAGTGACTCCAATTAGAAGAGGGGGCCCCAGTATGTGGCATACACAGCATTTACAAAAATTGTGTCAAAGGTCAGTTAGGATCATTATGAATAATTTGATCACATTGATTATAAAGCGACCAAAATGAGAAACCATAAAACTCCTTCCTTGGAGAAACCCAATTAATTAGAACCCTTTCCACTTTACTTATGACAGCATCTACCTGAAAAGCTTTGCCTTTGAATATACAGTTGTTTCACTCTTCCCATAACACCCAGCAGATTGCAATGGGAGAGGAAAGGCATAGAGTCCTGCCTCTTCTGCTAAAACCCCTTTCTGGCCAAGTCAAGAATAGGTCACCAATGTCATTTGGTGGTGCCCAAGTCTTGCCAAAGAGTTTTGTGAAATGGGACCACGCCTGAGAAGAAAAATGGCAATGGAGTAGAAACTGGCAAATGCCTTACTGATTCCTAATCATTCTCGCAAAGGGGACACCTGTTCACCATCGCCAGATCTCTAGTCATTATATTATCAATTGCTTCAATTTTGTTCAGGATTGCTGCCTAGGAGAAAACAACACCTTGGAAGGGGCAGCTGCTTGCCAAATCCACTTCCAAGGGATATATGGAGCAAACTGATCTGATAGGAGAAGTGAAAAGGATTTAACTGAAAATCCCATCAGGACTTCCCTTCCACACCCTACTGTCAATTCTCCCGGACTTGAGGAGATTGTGTTAATCCTTTCGAGCAAAGAGAGTAACTCCTCTGATTCCCTATCTTGGATATTTCAACTCAGAGAAGGAATCCAAACCACCTGGTCACCTGTGAATTCATAACAGTGACTCACCAAGGCCTCTTTATCACTCACAGTTTCAAAGATAAGGGGAAAGGAAGTTGCCTACGGGGAGGAGCCATGCCAAGTGTCTTTTCAAAAGCAAACTCTGTCGCCATTTTCCACCTTGAAGGAATCCAATGAGAAAAGGGTTCCCAGTGCTTCATGATACCATTCTAGCAGTTTGCTCCATAGGATTGGGAAATCGGATTTGTGAACCAGCCCATATCAGAATCACCGTATTTGCTCCGAATCGTTCTCCTCCAAAGAGCTTCCCTTTCAGAACCATAGTGCCATATCCACTTATCCAACAAAGCAATGATTAGGGAGTCTAAAGGCCGAAGCCCAATACCAACTTTTGCCTTAAAATGACACAGCTGATCCCATGCTACCAAATGTATCTTCTTTTGATTATCTGCTCCTTCCTAAAGGAAGTAAGCCTTAACTTCTGTAGCTGGTTGGTAATATCCAAAGGTGCACAAAAAAGAGAAAAATAGTAGAATGGCAAGTTTTGATAAGGCACTTTGAATCTAAAGTTACCTTGCCAGCTTTTGAAAGCATCCTCTCTTCCAATTTTCCAGCTTCCTATTCATGCATTCCAAAACCATAGTCCAAATATCCTTTAGCCCCATAGTTGGCTCCAAGAGGCAGCCCCGAGTATCTACCATCTAGAAGGCAGAGAGCCTGTTCTACAATCATAGTCGCAGCAAGTTCTGACTTTTGAAATGTGAAAGACAAAGCTGGTCAAGATGAGTTTCAATTTTTGTATGTTAATCTTGAGGCCTGAAACAGCTTCAAGTCAAATGATTAAACACCTTAGAAACAACAAATAAGAATGTTGGGCCCGCAAAAAAGGAGATAATGGTCCGCAAATTGAATCTAAGTTACCATCATACCTTCCGTACTGACTGTGAAGCCATCCAAGATTCCACCTTCCTCAGCTCTCATCACCAGTCTGCTGAAATATTCAACTACTATATTGAAAATAAAAGGAGATAGGGGTCCCCCTATCTCGAACCTCTCCCAGCTACAAATCAACCCGTATAGACACCATTGATGATGACCGAAAAAACAAGCATAGTTGATTAGCTAGCACTTTGGCAATTAATTTGTAGACACTCGAGGTTAAACTTATTGGTCCGTAGTCTTTCAGCTCTGCAGCACCTTGACTCTTGAGAATCAAAGGAATAAAAGTGGGCTTCGATTGGTAGAACACCTGATCATAAAAATCATTCAGCACTTTCATAAACTCCTCCAAAAAGGCCCAGCATTTGTGGAAGAAAGCCATGGGAAATCCATTGGGGCTACAAGGTCACAAGCCTCCTCAGGAATGTGATCAAACTCCACCCCATCTAACTTAGGACAGTTGCAAATAACACCAGCAATAAACCTGAAATTAAATCAAAAGAAAAGGGAAAATGGAGGAAGAAGGGGGAAGAGGAAGAGAGCTGATTGCATCTCAATTTGTGTCCCTCAATTGAATTATATATGCTGAATATAAAAAAGATGGGAAAATTACATGAGTGCCACTAGTAAGGTGGCTGACTCAAAAACATAAGAAATAACAAGTATTGAAGGCCCACTACAACTGAAATAAAATTAATGAATAAAGAAAGAAAACTAAGGCCTACTTGGTCCAATCTCTCTACAAGGACAATGGAGGTTCCTGTCTGCAAACAAGTTCTATTAGAAGTGGACAACTACTGCAGCCACTTCTTCCTCCCCCTCAAAGAATTCATCACCGAATCTTATGGAAGTAATCACATTGCACCTTTGCCTCATGTTAGTAAGTTCATGAAAATACTTTGTATTCTTATCACCTGCATGCAGCCACAAGGTCCTAGGTCTCTATCTCCAGGCGATTTTCTTCAATCTAGGATAGTTTGTCAAACTCTGCTCTCCCCAACTCCCTCTGCTGCCTCTCCTGGACTGAAAGGGCCACTTCTTCCTCTTTCTTATCTAGCAATTTTAATTTTGCCAACTCCCCCTCTATCCTCCTCTGTAGAGAACCAGAGTCTTCTTTGCTCTAAATTTTGGTGTGTCCCTTCAGGTTCTTCAACTTCAAACAGAACTCTGAATTGGAGTGCCTTGAGGATCAGATGATTCCCACCAAGTCTTGAGCTTCTTTTGGACCCTTTTAAGCAATGTCTTCTATCTATTTTATTAGATGACTTCTCTCTAGGCACACAAACCTTGTGATAACTCGGACCTGGTTCTCTTTTCTCCTTTTTTCTGTTTGGTTGTTTTCTCTTCTTTTTTTTTTATTGATCCACAACACAAAAGGTTTCATTAATTATCGAGAGAAACATGATTACTACAAGAAGTTGTGAAAAGAACCAGCTATAGAAGCTGTTCCAAACCAGTACTACATTTGGTTGTTTTCTCTTCTCCCCAATGGATTGAAGAAGTTTCTCGACTCCCCTCCTTTAGACTATTCTTAAAGGAAAACTGCCATCTGCCATTTTATTTTCTTTCCATTAAAGACACCTCAACCCCTTTTCTTTTTTTTTTCCTCTTCCTCAAATATCTTTTAAGTGGTGGGCCCCACCAATTGAATGATCTGTTGAATGTTTATAAGAGACAGCCACATACTCATCCTCCTTAACATGATTTAAGACACCTCAATCTCCTTCCCTCAAAACTCGAATCCTGCCACATGGCTGAATGCAGGTTGTTATGTGTGGTCCCTTTCTCCTTAAATTACTTAATTGCTCTTTTTGCCTCTGACTTAGTCTTCTTCTCTAGAACCCCGGCTGTTCATCTTCCAATCTCCTCCTACTACCTCTGTAAATGTATTTTCCTGAACATCCAAGAGAGAACTTCCACTTGTTGTGCATGAGTGTGTTACCTGAAAACTAGTGAGTCCTCCTAAGCTTTGAACACTCACTGATCTTCACTTTCTATCAACAGTCACAGCTCATATGACTCACCGGCAAAGACAAGAATTGCATGGGGTGGAACTTGACCCAAGTTCTTGGTCTCCATTAGCAGTCTTGCCATTATCCTTCTTTTCCAACAACCTATTTGTTATTCACTCTTAAGAATTGGCCTAAGCAATTGCAATCACTTTGGACATTTCAAGATCCCATGTGTGCAGTGGTATTCCTACCACACAAATCCAAAGTGCCCTTCTGTGTCATTGGCCTTTAAGTGCTCCTGCCAACAGATATTGCCAACCCAACCTCAGTGCAGGTGATCTATCTTGCCGATTCTCAAAATCCAGAGCCCACTCAGCTTATGCGATGTCATGAAAAATGAAAAGATTAAGCCTCCATTTAATTTTCTAACAGCTAAAAGTTTCCAGAAACCCCACTCTTTCTCATTTGGATTCACACCCAGGAACCTTCCTATCAGACAAGCTCTCAACAACCTTAATCTTTCATCAAGTTTCCCAATGTAATCCACAACTGCCTTCTGTCCTGGCTTCAGCAAAATATAAGAAGCTTGTAAAGAGTAACTGGGTGTTTGAGTGTTGTTCTTCCTAGACCTTTGAGAAAGAATTTGCTGAATGCACTTATGCTTACTCAAAAGATTGAAATCACTATAATTTGGCAAGACCATAGCAACACGATAGTTAGAAGGAAGAACCCAAAGATATTAACATCCCACTAAATATTTCCATTCTGTGCGTAAATTTTGGATGCCAATTTAGTAAGGTCATATTGTGCTTAACTCTAGTTGATAATTTTTTTAGATGTTTTTTATATATTTTCAGGTTTATGTTCTGAAGTTCTTAATCTGTTGCCCCCTTTCTGGTTTAGTGCCTTTAATTTGATAAAGTAATTTATTAATTCCCTTTGTTTGATGAAGTAATATTTTGTTATTGTAACTCCTTAAACAAGTAGGTTTATTTGGGTTTCACTGGTCTGGTGATTGTAATCAACTACCTGTGGCATTAGTTGGAATTGCCAAAGAAAACAGAAAAATAATCTGCAATTAGAATTTAGATATGTTTCATCTTTGATTTCATTATTTCATTCTAATAACAGTGGTTCTCTTTCAAACTTACGTGATAACTTCCTGTGTTTATAGAGTTATTTCTATATTCTAATTTAGCTGTCTCCTTATATTTTTTACAAGGTTTTGTTGAAATAGATTTGGGACTGGGTCTTATAAGTTTCTAATTATTTATTTCCGTACAGGTAATGTATCAAATGTGGCGGGAGGCATTTAATATGTATCCATGGCCCCTGGTTAAACGAGTAAAGAGATGTTGGGGTACACTAAAAAGTTGGGTGGCCATAAATTTTCCAGAGGCTAGGGCTACTCTGCAAAATGGTGCATCTGAAGATCAAATTAAAGAAGTAGAAGACAGTTTGGGTGTGAAATTACCTCTTCCTACAAGGCTACTCTATCGCTTTTGTGATGGTCAAGAAATAACAAGTACATATTCTTCAGGAAGTGATCTTGGTAGCCCCTTGGGCCTTGTAGGTGGTTATTCCTTTTATGACCATGAGGTAAATGTGTTTCTGTTGCCCCTAAAACAAATAATCTCAGAAACAAAAAAATTTGTACATCACCCTCGCTTGGGCAAGTATAAGTACATAGTTGTGGCAGCTTCTTCCACTTATGTTGAAAAGTTGTTCTTCCTGAATTGTCGCAGTGGGCAACTTTATGTTGGTACCAAGAATTTTTCTAGTGATGGAGAAAAGATTCCATGTGTACCTGGTAAATTGATTAACTCAGTGCACAATCTTAATGATGATAAGCAGCAGGATGCCATGCTGCTGTGGTTAGAAGAACATAGCCGGCGATTACACAATGACATCATTGGGCTTCGTGAGCAAGGAAAAAACAGAAGTATCAATCTGTTCCCGGAAACAGCCCCACTCTGTTCCACTGCTATAACCAATGGAGTTCAGGTAACCAACAGGCCATAGTTCCCATTGCCTCCTAACCCCCCTCCTCTTGTTTGGATGTTCATTCTTATAGGTCAACTTTAGATGGATTATTTTAGCATTGTATGATTTAGGTCCCTGTTTTCCAGTTCTAGAACTATGAGAAAAAAATGGTTGGAGAAGTGCTGAGATATGGCAGTCACTGAACAGAATTATGTCAGTACAAATTTCTTTAGAATCTCCTGGAAATCTATAAATACAAAGAAACTCAAAGCAGAAGGGAAAAATGAAGAGATTATTCAATCAGTGTCACTCCCTTATTTATATGCACTAGAGAGCTGGCTTCAGTTCTTATAGGTATCAGGTTCTTCAAAACTTTTAGATGTGCTACACTATGAAATAGATTACTTGGTAATCTTTTTTTTTCAATCAATGCTTGGTACACTTATCGTAAGATTCCTATCTACTTTTCTGAGTTGGTCTCCAGTCTCAGAATGATTATTAAGAGGAGAAGGTTCATCAGGAGTTTCGTAATCTTCTGGCTTGGGATATGGTGAGCTCATGAGAGGAGTTTGTGAGGGAAGATTGTTGAAGCTGTTGTTGCTCTGCTATTATTGTTGTTCCTATTATTTGAAAACTGACAATTGATGGTTTATTTTCAGATCCAAGCTTCTTCTATTTTTGTTCCAGAGTTAAGTGACATTGAACAGGAGTCAGAGAAGTTTTTCTTTTCCTATTCAATTCGCATGTCTCTCCTGCCTGAAGGATGTGTTGTAAATGGAATGTCCTTCAGCTCTTGTCAACTCTATTGGCGTCATTGGATCATCCGCGCCAATGACATAGTTGTGTCTGATGTTAATGCAGAAGCTGTAATAGGAAAGGTATGATTTGCTTCAAACTCTCCTAATTCTTTTTGGAAACTTCTTAATGCCATCATACTCTTGCTAGCCTAAAGCTGAAGACCTTCTCCTCCCCTAGCAGATGCATATACAGAAAAAAAACAATTATGCAAAGGCTTATTATATTCTTTGTGATGTCATATCATTTTCTTTTTGGTTTAGAATGCCCATTTCATTTTAAGGTTTATTTATTTTTGATCAATTACTCTGAAAAAAATTCATTAATTAAGATGCTTTAGGATACACCAGCAAGAAGTTGCAATAGAAATTGTTAGAGTTCACAGAACAGGGGTATTTTGGTCATTTGGGTGCATCTGTGTTAGAGTGAAAGGTCTGTTTTATTCATGTCTAAGTTGTGTGTCCCATCACTTATGAGGGGCAATATTGACTTTCTTGTAACCAAGCTTATGTGAGATAAATGCAAGTGGGTCGATTAGAGAGGACTGATTTTCCTCATCTGGCCAAACCCTTCTTCTCCTCCTTCTTCTTCCTTTCTCCTCTTCTTCTCTACTTTAACCTAGAACCCAATAGGGATTTTACATGGTATCAGAGCAATAAAACCTAGTTCTCTTTTCCTCTTTGTTTTTTTTTTTTTCTCACTGTTTTTCTTCTTCCTGGGTTCGCCGCCAACTAGTCCAGCCTTCTTTGATTTTCTTCTAGCCTGAGTTGCATCTCGTCAAGAGGCCAAAAAGGAGTGGTCGTTTTGTGGTTTTGGAGGTGAGTATGCCTCTAGTTACTGTGGTGGTGGTCGTTGAGGTGGTGTACTAGAAGCCCTCTATTCTGTGATACAAAGAGGGCTGTTTGTGGACAGGTATGAACAATTATGTTTTTCGCCCAAGAAGTGGACTGTAGATGCTGTGTTTTGGTTCAATTTTTTTTTTTTTGGTGGAGGTATGAAGTGACTAGTATGCAGTGGTATGGTGTTCTCCTCTGTTTATACCTCGTATGTGTGCTGAAAGTAGTTGTTTTTGGCTGCTGAAGTTCACGACAGCAGTGGTGTGGTGGTGGTGTACTGTATTGAATGGTGTGTGGGTGTTTCTGAATTGTTGAAAGTAAACCCTTGTGTCGTGTAGTGGTGTTCCTACTGATTTCTGTGGTGGTGTTCATACTTTCTTGTGAGGAGAGCAGATTTAGTTGAAAATGTCGTCAACCGGAGATGGTAGTGACAACAAAACTGGAGTTATGATCTCTCCAGATTATCTGAATGTTCAAATGACATCCATTAAGCTGAATGGTGAGAACTATGTGCCTTGGGCCAAGTCGGTGGAGGTGTTCTTGAAGGCCAAGAAGAAAGTGAAGTATGTGAGAGAGGAAAAACCTTCCTCTGACTCTCTAGGGTTTAGTGATCAGTATGAACTTTATGTTCCTAGATACAGCTAATGAGATCTGGGATCATGCTAAGAAATTGTATTCCGGGCAAGACAATACAACTAGGGTGTATCAGTTGTACCAAGAGTACTTCAATCTGAAGCAAGGCAGCCAGAGCTTGGAAAAATACTATGCAAGTTTGAGGAACATCAGAAATGAGCTTAATGTTTGTCATCCCCTGACATCGGATGTTCATGTTCAGCAACAACGTGACCAACTTGATGTGACTAGATTTCTGGTAGGTTTGAAGGCTGAATATGAACCTGTCCGTGCACAAATACTGGGGGGTCTGCCCGCCCCTCACTTGAAGAAGTGTTTGCCCATCTTAGGAGGACATCTATTGAGTTTATAGAGCATTCTTCTCTCTCAGACAGATCTGATTTGGTGGTAGCTAGAGGTGGAGACCGTGGAAATAGAGGTGGTGGTAGTGGTGGCTGTGGACTTCCAGGAAACCGAGGTGGTCCCATATTTAACCGTGCTGGTGGCCGGAGTGGAGGCCGAGACTTAGGGGGAGGTCGTGGTAAAGGAAGAAGTAATGCTCCTAGGAAGTGTACTTACTGTGGATTAGAGGGGCACACTGTTAATTTCTGCTATGATTTACATGGTCCACCCAACACTTGGGCTAACCATGCTATGACTAGGGGCAGTGGTACAATTAGTGAAAATCCGCAAACGGATCAGATTCCCTCCACATCTACTGGTGCTTCTGGAAAGGAGATGGTGAGTGTACCTCGTGCAATATATGAGCAGTTCTTTCAGACATCTTCTCAGCAGAACACAACTACCCTTGCCCATTCAGGTATGGTTTGCTTGGCTTCCAAGCCTTCACACTGGATCATTGACTTCGGAGCCTCGGGCCATATGTTTGGGACTCCAAATGTATTATCTTCTCTTTCTTGGTCCTCCACATCTCAAACAATTACTCTTGTTAACGGTTCTACATCTTCCATTTGTGGTGTTGGTGATGTTGATCTCTCCTCCTTGTCTTTATCATCCGTTTTATATGTTCCTAAGTTCCCTTTTAATCTTATGTCTGTTAGTAGATTAACAAAGTCACTTAATTGTTCCATAACCTTTTATCCCTCTTCTTTTGTGTTTCAGGATCTCAAGACAGGGATGAAGATTGGTGGAGGGCATGAAGCAGGTGGGTTGTATTACCTTGATGGTGGTGGCCCTCCCGTAGCCTTTCAGTCGTCTTTTACTCCACTGCAATGGCACCGCAGACTTGGTCATCATTCTCTCAAAACTTTGAAGTTGCTGGTTCCTTCTTTGAGTCATCTTTCATCGTTGGATTGTGAATCGTGTCAGCTTGGAAAACATCATAGAGTCTCTTTCAATCCAAGAGTTGATAGTCGTGTTTTGAATCTTTTTTCTTTAGTTCATTCTGATGTTTGGGGTCCAATCAAAGTGATATCATACAATGGCTATAAGTATTTTGTAATTTTTGTTGATGACTTTTCAAGAATGACATGGATTTATCTTGTGAAAGATCATAGTGAATTGTTCTCCATTTTTCAAAAATTTTATGCTGAAATATGTATACAGTTTGGTGTTCATATTAAAATTCTTTGCTCCGATAATGCAAAAGAGTACATATCAACACCATTTCAGCAATACTTAGAGCATCATGGGATAATTCATCAAACCTCATGCTCCTACACCCCACAACAGAACGGTGTGGCTGGACGAAAAAATCGACATTTCCTTGAAACTGCTCAGTCTATGATGCTTAATATGAATGTTCCAAAGCGTTTTTGGAGTGATGCTGTCCTTACATCATGTTTTCTCATCAATCGGATGCCCATATCCATCCTTGGAACTCAATCCCCCTTCTCCGTGTTGTTTCCCACCTTGTCTCCGTTTCCTCTTACTCCGAGAGTCTTTGGGTGTGTGCTTTGTTAAAAATTTGGGCCCTGGTTTAGACAAGTTAGATGCACGAGCTACGAAGTGCATCTTCCTTGGATACTCTAGGACTCAGAAAGGGTATAAGTGCTATAACCCTCACTCTCATAAGTCATTTGTTTGCTCCGATGTCACCTTCTTTGAATCGGTTCATTTTTTCTCGGACACTGTGGTTCTGTTGGGACCCAAATACCTTCCCCTAACCCAACACAGGGAGTGGAGCAGGCCACTACCCATCAGTAGTACTCAAGGAAGCAGAAAGGACAGGCGACAGAGCCTCAGGGACAGGCAATAGAGCCTCAGAATTAGTTACACAYAGAGAGGGTGATTCTGTCGACAGAAGATATTCCCTCCATGATATTTCCCAGAGTTTGTTATCAGTTATGAATGAATATCCCCTGTTTTTCTCTTTCACTGCATCCCTCTCTTCCTACCTTCCCTTCTCTTCTTCCTCCCCATTTTCTGTTTCAGGAGGTTAAGCCACCCTCGAAGGGGCTTCCGAGGTGAGCGGTATCTCACCAGGTTCCTTCTCCTTCCCTTGTAGTTCCTCTTCCTGTCCTTGTTGAGGATCCACTTCCCGTGGTCCCCATTCCAGTTGCAATCCCCCCTGTAGTTCCTCCTCTCGTGCCAGTTACTACTGAGAGGCCACCAATCAGACAAGTGTATACGCACAGACGAGCACCGACCCTTCCTCCACTTCAGCACTCGTCGACAGATCCTGTGGTTGCTCCTCCTCCCTCGGACCTTGATCTTCCTATTGCCTTGCGGAAAGATAAATGCACTTGTACTTCTCATCCTATTTCACACTATGTTTCAGTTGCTCACCTTTCTGCTTCTCATCGCCACTTTATATCCTTTCTCTCATTTGTTTCCATCCCCAAGACTGTCCAGGAAGCCCTTACCTCCCCAAGGTGGCGACAAGCAATGAAAGAGGAACTATCTGCTCTACAACACAACCAAACATGGGACCTCACTTCTCTTCCTCCTGGTACGCATGTTGTTGGGTGAATCTTGACCTCCTACGTCAGACTTTGACGAAAAGATGGAGAGAGGCCGAAGTGTAGGAGTGTTCCAGAGGGTGAACAGGTGGAAAACCGAGCTGAAGGTTGAGGCTAAGAGTTTTTTGTTCGAATTTGGAAGGGCTGGAGGTAGTAATATGTTGAAAATCAGAGAAGATAGAAGGGCAACAGTAATCCTAACCGATGCAGCAGTGTTGTGGTTGAAAGGTTTTATCGATGGAGTTACCTTTTCTATTAGGAAAGAAGGATGGAGGAATGCCTTAAAAGCTCACAAGAAGAGATATGAAGTGGAGCTAAGAAGGAATGGAAAAGGCTGGTTCATTAGCATCATTGAACTCTTTGATAATAGGAGGCAGATGGTGTGTCTTCCGGAAGGGAAGGAGGGACAGGGCTGGCTGGCTGTTGCAGATAAGTTACAGCAACATATCTTACATGTTGAGGGTGGAGTGACAAAAGTGCAAGATGCAAACATGGAGGATTCCTGTGAACATAAGCCCTCGAATCAGCTGGTAGTTGACAGAAGCGGTGAAGTACAAGAAGCTACAAAACAGAGCTCGTCTCATTGTGGAGAAGTTTTTGCTAGCTCGATGGAGGTTAAGAGACTCCTAACTGATGCGGAGAAAAATAGTTGGGAAAGGAGAATGGTCTTAACAGCTACTAAAGACGTGAAGAACTGGAGAAATTTGCTGGATA